TATATCAATATATACTTATATATATAGATGTGTAGATATTTAAATGGCTGCCACATAATTATATATATATATATATATATATATTTGTATAGGTATGTTGTGCACATCAAACGCTCGAACACATGAAACGTCAAGCGTCACAAATTGAAATATCACATCAATTTGCCATGCGGCCGTCTCGCTTTGTAATAAAAGTAAATAATAATTTAATAAAAGCCGCAAAAAGCATTAAGCGCTGACGGCAAAGAACAAAGGCGAAAATGCCAAAAGGCCGCCGACAAAACAGCTGGCCGACTGCCGATTGCCGAATGGCGAATGGCGGATGGCGGATGGCGATGCCGACTTACAGATTCAGATACTCCCCTGCTCGCTTCCCCCCGCAGCGTGGCAGAGCGGCAGAGCTGCAGACCGAGCGTGCGCGAGCGCCCTCTATGTGTCAGTCATTCAAGTGGCTTTTAAACGCCGCGCATGCGCAGCTTGCATTGTGTGTGTGTGTGTGTTTGAGTGTGTGTGTGTGATTCCTGTGACCGCTTCAAATTGATTTGAACGAGCACTAAAGCTTCGGACAGTTGATAAGAGCAAGCCGACAGCAAAGTTTTTCGCACGGGTGGCGCGCACATCCACAACGGCAGACAGACAGACAGGCAGGCAAAGAGACGGACAGTCTGAGAGAGACTGACCAGTCGGCTAGGCAGGCAGTCAACTGTTTCCCCAATGGCGATATGGCGGCGGCACATCAAAAGGTGCAGGCCACTGACGCCTTCGGGCCAAGCTTAAATGAGCACACACACACACACACACACAGATGCACACATGCACATGGAAATGTATGCGAAGGAGTGGCTGGTGTGGTGTGAGGGGGAGGGTGGGCAGGGACAGGGCAAGGGGAAGTTGGCAACGGTGATCGCATCGCTGTGTGTGTCTAGCTGGTTGGCCAGGCTGAATGGCTGACTGGCTGACTTTCTAGCTGGCTGGGCAATCAAGCAGAATCATCATCATCATCATTATTTGCATTATCAGCGCAATTGTTTTTTCTTGATGCCGCATTAAGAAGACACACGTGGCAAATGCATTACGAAACGAATAAAATGTTAATTATTTATTGATTGCAATTTAATTAAAAATTGAATTATTTTCTGATAGATTTGATGATTATTATTAGATTTGCCCAACAAAAACCCAGTCAATAAATATTTAATGATCAGTCAACCGGATTGGAGTATTAAATTATATGGCAAACATAAAAATGTTTGATCTAAAATTAAGTTGCTTAGTTAAATACCAATTACGGGTCTTTGTGTTTGGTATTTTATATTCAAATCGGATTAATATATTATATAACTTGAATAAAGCATCTTGCATCGTCAATTAGACAAATGTGTTTTTTTTTAAATTAAAAGATTGGCTTAAGTGATAACATTCTTCGCGACCAGCCTGTCCGGAATATTGTTAAATATTATATATATATATATATATATATATACATATCAGAAATTTTGAACTTTGACTCCCCTCTAATCCGCTTATATTCAGTATTAGCTGGCATTAATTTTGCAGCGTAAGGCAGCTCCTTTTTTATTGGGGAAAGGTAGTCTGTCCAGGCTGTCCAGGATGAGTTACCCTCGTCGACCCACTTGATATGACAGATATAACACATATGTTTAAATATTGATGGAAACTTCTTCAAATCTAAAAGGCAAACAGCTGCAAAATGTATCAAGAGATGCACTACTATTTTCCTAGTTGTTCTGCACAAAATCTACTCCAAAAGCTTTAGATACAATTTTTTTCATCTGGATAATCGTATTATTTAATATCTTTGATTAATATGAGTCACTTTAGAGCTTGAAGCAGGGTATCAGCCGTTCAAGCACTTTGCCTTTGCATAGTTTAATTTCCTGAGATTTTCTTTTAGCTTGGCCTTTTTTTTTGTTATTGTTGCTGCTGCTGCTGCTGCTGCTGCTGCTGCAACAGCTGCTACTTTGTGTATATTCTTGATTTTTATCCAACCGTGGACCAACTGTTTTATGCAAATTTTGTTGTTGTTTCTGTTTGTGTCAACGAAATCTGTATTTGTGTTGTTTTACCCCCAACACCCACCGCCATGTCCCCAATCGATAATGCAAATGGGCAGAACAACAGCCGGCAACACATTTGAACTTTTTAACTACAGATGCGAGTACAACGGATACACAAAGCTGTATCTGTTGTTTCGCATATATGCGCAACATGCACTTTAATTTGAAAATTATGAACTTTGAATATTCGATGCTCGCCCCATTTAATATGAGACTGCTCGTGTACGGTTTGTTATCCTGCCTGGCTCTGTTTTGCTGTTGGGCAAACTTTGTCCTTTGTTGCTAGTTGCGTAACTCAAAAGTAATTAAATTGCAAAACTGCACACAAGTGGGGGGAGGGGGTGGGACAGAGACATATATTTACATACATATTTAGATATATGTATGTGCGATATGCGATGGGCAAAAGTCAAGTGCTGAAAGGACGGAAGCAGCTGGCAACATGTTGACAGCAGTTTTCAGCTGGACAGGGTAGGGTAACGCCCTCGTCGGTGCGTTTTCTTCATGTCGTGGCCAAAGTTATAGTTATGATGATTGTTGATTTACGCTTTTTAGTTGCAGTTGCAGTTGCAGTTTGTGTTGCTCTTCTGCTGCTGCTGATCTCCCTTTGAGGGCGCATGTAGCATGCAATTAATTTTGTAGCCTCTGCACTTCAAAGGCGCTGCGCCAAAGAAGGGAGGGCGGCCTTGCTGCTGTCAATGTGCCTTTGATGCAGTCAGTCCGACCCTCCCCCTCCACAGCCCCTCCTCATCCCTTCCCCTTGCCATTACCCGCATGTCATCCCTCGCTTGCATTTGTCATCATTGTCGGCTGCTGACAGCCGCGCTAATGGTTGCTGGGCCCAGTTTTCGATCTGTATTCCCAGCGCTGGTAACCCGAGACCTTTGGTATGTCAAAATGCCTCTGACTCCTCATTCTCCTCTGCTGCTGCTGCTGCGCTTGACTGTAGTGGGACATCAATGTCAAGACTTGACTTGCTGCCTTTTTTGCGGTTGACATCGCTGACATGCAACGAGGCTGCCGTTGCACAGCCAACTCCTTTTGGCCACATTGCCAAGTGCGGCTTTGTTGAGCAGACCGATTACACGACCTTCACAAGAAATCAACTAAAGATGCTCAAGTATAATGTTCTTGATGCCTGTCAGATGAGTGGAAAGATCTTGACTATGATTTAAATTACACATCACGCATGCAAATAGAGTTTGCTAGACTCTTGCCAGGCATATCAAATTACCAAAAGTCTAACCAAAAATATGCGCATAAAAAGGGCTTCGCGAAGGACTGCAAACTGTTGATGAATGCTTAAAGTGCACAGAGTGCAGCTTGAAAGTTGAAAAGTCAAGCGACCTTTTTTTATTTTGCTGCATAATTACACTTTTATTAACATGCAACGAGACGAAGTCAACGGAAAAAACTGCCGCCGCTAAAGCTGACGGCAACAACTCTGTCAAAAACTCATTTGTTCCTTTTTATGCATTTATTTTAGCATTTGATAGAGCTGTCCTTGTGTGTGTGTTTGTGTGTAACTCTATACAGGCCTGGCATTTTGAATGCAAACAGGTGCCAAGGTGCCCCCAACTCATCTCATCGTGATACAAACACACCATTCAGCTACTCCCTGTTGGCTGTGTGATGCATCCGTTGAATCGCATCGCATCGCATTGCATCGCATTGCCTGGCATCCTTTAGAGACACTTGAGGCGCACTCGGCTTAAATGAAGTGCATACGCCGTCATGCACATCAAAGCAAGCCGACAGTTGCCGCCGCTGTGGCAGCTAATTAGACACGCCTCCATTGGCATCGCCACCCGTAATTAACATTAACTGTTACTCACACACACTCACGTGAGAGCTATCAAAAAAACAAAATAAATCCAAAAAAACCCAAACTGTTTTGTCTTTTTAATAATAAATATCCGCTGGGTGTTGTTCTTGTTGTTGTTGTTTTTATGCCGCTTTGTTGCACAAGACAAGAAATTTATATAAAACACGCAAGCGATCACAAAATCACATATGATAAAATATTAACGCTAATTTTGTTGTATACTGAAACTTTTAAGTGCTACCTGAAATGCTAATTAATTCATCTATTGATTTTTACTGTCGCCCATAAAAATATATCGAATTAATAATAGACTACAAGGTGCCAATCAAATAACTCCGTAAATAGTTAATTATTCAAATTTGCATTCAAAAATAACTATCATCAAATTGCTTGTACAACACTTAATGCAATCGAAAACGTGTTGAGATCTGCAATCAAATTCTTCTATGAGTTTTTTAGGTTGCCATCTGCAATCTTTAAGGGACACAAAGAATCTAGAGATTTAAAGCTGTAAGTCAGCAGTTCCGATTTAAGCATTTGTTCTTAGTCTAGGTAACTAATATTGTAATTGTAATTCCAATCAAACTAAATCGAATCTTTTGTCTGCTTAATTAACAAAATAAATTGAGTCCAATCTAAGATACTTAATCCTTTTTCCATGTATTTTATATGAAATAATTTAGGCATATATTTCTACATCGACGTATCATCAAAATTAAATTAATAATAAAATAATTGTAGAACATATTTTTACTTTAAAAAAAGAAAACCGTTCACAAAAAATCATGTTTTAAAGCATACTTTTAGGATGGCCCAAAAGTTTAGGATAATTGCTTTTCAGAAAAATTACTCAAATTGAGCCATTTCCTTGATGATTTTTGAAAGACATGGGGCGATCTCAATATCCAACTCTATGGATTGAAATTCCAGATTTAAGGGTCATTTCCAAGGAACCAATTTTAAGAAATTTCCATCCTTGATAGCTCAGAAACTGCCAAGAAAATTTTCATATCTGTTAACCGACCAACTTATGGTGTTGATTAGTGCGAGTTGTCTTCGAACGGAAAGGCTGTTCATATAAAGATAAATATATATAAAAGTCGTATATAGGACAGATCAAGAACTTTTCGCATGGATGGCCGATATTCCGACTGTTAAGGTTTTTTCTGATCAGATTTAGAAATGATTGCAGGAATCCACATATTTTAACCGCACTTAAAATATATTTCAATCGAAAGTGTCCTTTAACAAATTTTAATTGCACTTAAAATCTAAATAAAAAAATTAACAATAACAACGTTAATTATGAACTGTTGTTACTATATGCTATATAAGATCGGACAATGTACTAAATAGCTTAACAACACACAATATCAATTCTGAACTTCTTATCACGGCTACATTGTAAACTACAAATAATATACATATATATATATATGTACATATATATATAACATAAGAAAACATTCTGGGAGCACAACCCAATACACTTACATAAAATCATGCTTAAAATGCTATAGATGAGAGCTTAACGTGTCTCACTTCTGTGTAAGTATGTATGTTTATGTACTGCATAGTTTATAAGGTGTGCATTTTAGAGATATATCGTTCTGCCAAACCGATCACTGTCGGCTAGACTATAAAAAGGCTTGTTCCTTGTTGTTCTCGTCGTGTAATGTTTTCGGTGTTCCGTAAACCCCTTGATTAACATAGAGTTTTAGTGACGGCACCGCACCACCACAAGCAGACGGCTGCGGTGGTGTCAGTTCCACTGGTGTTGATGAACTGGTTGACGGTGTCGTCGGCGTTGTTGAACTAAAGCTGGAGCAGCTCGAGCGTGCCGACAGCGATTGTGCCGAGCGTGTTCGTCTCAACGGTTCCGAGGTGCCAGCTGTGGTGCAGCTGCTCGGATCGCCGTAGCTGTGCACACGACCCACGCTTTTGAGGGTGGTGCGATACGGCTGCTGCTTTTGCTGCTGCTGCTCCGACTGGCTGTTGTAGGATCGCCGCAATATGCACCAAGTGGCCACGAAAGGCACTGTTAGAATGGCACAAATACCCAGCACAATGATCAGCAACACATCCAATCCCTCCGTGCGCCAAAAGTTGAGCGCATTTGCGTGTGATTTTAGAAAATCCGCACCGCCTGTTTCCAATATCAATTCAATACTGCTGAGGGCTCGCGACGTTGCCTCCGAATTGTCGATGTTTAGACGCGTCTTCAGATGGGCCAAATGTTGTGCATAGCTGACATTCAGCGTCAGTTGCCGTATGCTGTGAAGCAGTGCATCATAGGTGATGGCATCGTAGCCAACGCTTAACGCTGCACCTCTCAGCTGCAGCCGCTTGGCCAGCACCTCCTGCTCGGGCAATATGGGTATGGCAAGTATAGGCGTATCACCAGCAATCGATTCCCAAACGCTCAACTGACCGCAGCTGCTGATGAACAGCTTCACCTGCGGATGAGCTGCAAAGGTAAAATAGGTTACAATTCTCGTATACAGTTTGAGCGCGGTATAGATTACCCAATATGGCCTGTTGAGGCCACCAGCTGTTAATCATTATGTTGTCCGGCAACGGTTGCTGCACAAGCTCCTCCGCTTCCCATTTGAGCAGAAAATTAAATTCCTTCAGATGCGCAAATACATCCAGCAAAATAGATAGTTTATCGCTGGGCAACTTGGCCGTTTGCACCTCAGCGCCCAGACTCAAATAGATGACGCCGCCCGGGGCGGATTCGATAAAGGAACGCACATGCTAAAAAAAAGAACAGGAATTATTAAGTTGTTAATTAAATACACAGCTTTGCTTACATTTGGCACTTGCAACTGTTGTGGTTCCAGCAAATGTAATCCGCCCACTTCCAGCATATTGGGCAAATATGCGCGTGGATAATCCAGAGCGGGATGCGAGTTAATCAGCGCCAAGCTAAGATTTTTGCTCAAATCACGATAGTTGGGCAGTTCACGCACCAGCAGCTCAAAGTGATTGGAGTAAACGGATTGCTGTGAGATCAGGTGGAAAAAGCTGCCAGCAAAGATACAGTTAACAAATTGAGTTGTGTTCTCTTCAATTTAACTGTGCCGCTGCCCAGACTCACTTGTAGGTCAAACGCTCGAAGGTGCTCATCAGCGTGTTGGCGATGCGTTCACGTGTATTCATGCGCTCCGTAAACGGTAGAAAATTGCTCGGATCCAAGGAGGCCGATTGCGGATTACCGAACATATTGTTGAGCCACGAATTGGCACCGGTGGGACTGATGGCCACAGTTGGCACACCATAGTAATAAGCCAACCTAAACGGTGGTGCAACAGCAATTTAAATTAATGCAGATCTCATATTCAATAAGTGTTTAAAATTTGAATAAATTAGTCGTCGAATCTATATTCTGGTTCACGACGTATTAAAAAAAAAAAAGCCTGAATTCAATCGAATTGTTGACATTTTGAAAAAGTTGTTCAAACAAGCTTGATTTTTACTGATTGTTTTTTATATATTCCAGTTAATAATTTAACAACCCACATTCAACTTTAGTCAGACAGCTTGAACTCTAGTTTAATCACTTACCCAAGCAACGCATCACTTAGAAACAGGTCCACGATGAGTAAATCGAATTTTTCGCCGCTGGTGAGCAGCTTTTGGACGCGTCCATCCGAGAGCAACAGATCCACATTTGTGGTGCCCGCATAGATCATGCGCGTGAAGCGTTCCATGACGCTCTGGGCGTACATCTGTTCCGCCTGGAAGCTCATGCCCATGTCCAGCCAGTTCTGCATGAGATCCTGGTCCTCGATGCGTATCTCGCGTATTTTGTATAACTCCGCATCCCCCTCGGCCAAGGCATGGGGACTGATCAGAGTCACCGAGTGATTCTGTGGCGTTGCCGCCAAATGCTGTAGCAGGCGGCGTCCAAATAGATAATGTGATCTCCAGACGCTGGGCAGCACAGCAAGGATGTTGGCGCCTGTTGCATGGCTGCAGAGCAGCCACAGCGACAACAGCTGTAACATACGCATCTCTCGCTCTCCCCCTCTCTCTCTCTCTCTTGCTCAGTCACACACTCGCGCGCGCGCGTGAGTGCAATGAACCGCTCAAGTGTCCTCAGACTCTGCGCCCGGTTTCGGTTTTTCCGGTTTGCAGCTTCCTCCTGCTCCCTCCCTCTCCCTTAAACGCTTTCCGTGTGCCGCTGCAGCAAAAACGCTATTATTATCTGCTGCTGCTGGTGCTCCCGTTGCTGCAACTAGACTTCATTTTCGCTTCGCTGTTGCACTTTAATCTTACACAAATACTACATTGCGTGTTAGCAATGCGATAATTAATGCAAATCAAGTAAATACTATAATGTTGAGCACAAAACGCGCAACGAAAGTGAAAAGAACGGCAACAACAACAAAGGAAATACGGTTGTGCCAGGGCTACGCAGTCGCTTGTCGACGCAAAAAGCGAATGGTAATCAACATGCGTCATCGATAGGAAATGCGAAAACAATGAATCGGTTATTGTACTTAATTTTAAACTATTTCTCATCAAAGAAACCATATGTTGTTAATTGTTTTTATAAGTACGGTGATCCTATAAAACTGCAAATTCTTATTTGTTTGATGACAATTGTACAAATCTTGTGCTTTTTTAAATCAAATTGAACACAAAAAGTTCAATGAAGTTCAAATTTTAATATTCCGAAATAATTAAAATAACGCAATAGTCCGAAACCGTTAATATTCAAATGGAACGATAGCGCTCTTCACAATATCGTATATCGTCTTGTATCGATATTTATCCGAGTTTCGGCTTACCAGCGCAATCATCGTTGGATAAAAGTAAAAAAAAGGAAAATGAATACAAACAGTCAACAAATAAATTGCAAAAGAATACGACGAATTAAGATTGATTAGTGTGCTTTATATAGATACTATATAGCAAAAAACCGGTTCAGTTGTATGATGCTAAACAACAGATGTGCAATCTAGCTGGCAACTGGTTGAGCGACCACAACAAAAAAAGCAGCAACAACAACGAGTAAAATCAAAAATTACACTTGTATGTGCAAGATTTTCACTTATTGGAAGTGGGCCAAGAATTGCAGCATTGAACCACATTAAACAGCAGAAATTTGCAACAGCCAGCTGAGACCTGAGAACTGACAACTGTCGTCACAGCAAGTAATCGGCCCTAAGTAAACACAACCCAAGTGATTTGTTTGTCGTAATCGCAATCAAACAACGAGAATCGAGGGATTTGTGAGAATTGCTGTGTGTGCTGTGTGGTGTGCAAAGCGCATACATTATTTTGAGCTGCGACGCTTACATAACAATATATAATACCAGGCTGCTGCTTTAAACCCTTAGGACAAAATGTCGCAAAAATCAGGTGAGTGTTGAAGAAATTTCAAATTTGTTGAATTTGTCAAAAATTGTCAGATTTTCTAAACACTTTGTGTTCACGTGCAGCGCTTATCGATGTGGATCAGCCGCTGTTCGATCTGAAAACGTTTACGGGTCGCTTTCAGTACTATGCCTGGATGACGGATCCCCGCACGGTGCTCCTCCCCAGCGACCGTCTGCTGAAGGCCAAGCAAATGGTGGACAAATACCGTGCCGGCGATCAGACAGCTCAGCTGAAATCCCAAGATGTTCACTACAACATGAAGCTGTACAGCTCCGCCTTTCATCCGGATACGGGCGAGCTGCAGAACTTTGCCGGTCGCATGAGTTTTCAGGCAAGTCTCGTGACAGTCAGCTGGCTGCTGCTGCTGATGCTGCTTTCGCTACTGCTACGGATCTCTATATATAGCGTCTAGCTGACGTCATTGAAGTGAATCTTTTGTTCTGTTTGCTTTTAGGTGCCTGGTGGCATGCTGATTACGGGCGGCATGTTGGCCTTCTATCGCACGGTGCCCGCTGTTCTGCTCTGGCAGTTTCTCAATCAATCCTTCAATGCCGTTGTCAACTATACAAATCGTAATGCCAATTCTCCGACAAGTGTCACACAGTTGGGCGTGGCATTTGCATCGGCCACAACGGCAGCATTAATCGCAGCAATTGGCTGCAAGAATTATTGGGCGAAGAAGGCAACACCACTGCTGCAACGCTATGTGCCCTTTGCGGCTGTGGCAGCAGCTAATTGTGTCAACATTCCGTTGATGCGCCAGAACGAGATACTCAACGGCATCGAGGTGAAGAACGCCGATGGCGAAGTGGTCGGCCAGAGTCGCCTGGCTGCTGTCAAAGGCATCAGCGAGGTGATCATCTCCAGAATCACGATGGCTGCACCCGGCATGCTGGTGCTGCCAGTGATTATGCAGAGGCTGGAGAAGCTGCCCGCCTATGCACGCATCAAATGGATCAATGCGCCATTCCAAACACTGATGGTGGGCTGCTTGTAAGTGGTTAAACTCAACTCAGTTGCACACACTTCATATTTCTGTTTTTGTCTGTTGCAGCCTGTGCTTCATGGTGCCCACGGCATGTGCGATTTTCCCGCAACAATGCGAGCTGAGCACCGCCACAATGCGAACATTCGAGCCGGAACTCTACGAGGACATGGTCAAGCGCACTGGCGGCACTGTGCCCAAGCGTGTCTACTTCAACAAGGGTCTGTAAGGAACCGTGTGCATCGTCTTGACCTGACGCTTAGACAATAATGTGTTTGATGTTTGTTGTTTGTCATCGCTTAGGCATTTATAGAAGCGTGCTCAACGTTTTGTTTCTTGTTCCTTATCGCAGCTACTAGTAGTCCTTTTATATAGTAAGTCGAAAAGTATCAAGTTTATTATATGTGTGTTCCAAGTGTAGTTTGTATTTCAGTTATAAATATTGGATTTGTATGCAAATTGAAATTTACGGACCTGTGCCCAAAGCTAAAGAAAATACTAGATGAGAAAGTGTGGAGATGAGATTTATTAAACAAACATTCAAAACCAATTAGAAGTTGTAATTACTTCAAACTCAAAGAAACAAATCTAGTCTATGCGATTTTTAGATAAAACAAGCTGAAACTAATATAAATCTAAATTCCTTTCGACTTTTAACATTCAACTATGCCGAACAAGAAAAAAACAATTATTCTTTAGGTAAAACAAGCTAAAATTAATGGAATTTCGTCTTAGTTTTTAAATATTCTTTAAATATGAAATGACCTGTTATGAATTTATACATATTTAAGGGTCGCTGATTTGGCAACAAATTTATATTTTCGGTATGTATTAAGTATATTTTCCTTGTGGCAGCTTATCATTTGGGTACAGGTGCTCCATAGCAGTAAAGGGATAATTTGGTTTTTCATTTTAATGGCATTTTACACTAATTTCCAGTCTGAAAGTAATTTGTGACATGCGTGTTTATACTAAGTCATTAGGGCAATGCTTAAAATAAATACAACTAAACAAAAGGAATAAAAATGCATTTCAATTGCGGGCTTATAAACGGTTTTATTAGGTATATTGTTTGTATCTTGTATATATGTATATATATCCATACATCGTAATTAGCAAATATTTGCGGGATTTCTTCATTGGACAACTAGTTAGATTCACTTTAAATGTTTTTCTTGGTTAATTACGAGGAGACTTTCGTATTATTATTGTTCGACTATTTATCGGGCATTTACTTATAGTTTTTGTGCTCTTGTTTTTTATTTTGTTTATGCCAGGTTATGTTCCATTTATTTCGTTTTGTTTTTGTGGACATTTTTAAGGTACTGTTTGAATTGCATTATTATAGTTTATAGTTGGTAAAATTGTTGGCACTGTCGCAAAATACTTAACATTGATGGAAAAATTCAACACTCAGATGTACAATATGTAAAATTGTGGTTACTTAAGTTTAAAAAACGAACTTTCGCTCAGCTGTGCGTCTCAAAAACCCCTCCAATTTCAGAGGACTTTTTTTAACAAATGCGCTGCCTGGCAGCCAATTTCGTTTCAATATTTGGTTTCTTTTCTTCCTTTTTTTTTGCTTGTAAAATGTTTTTTTCTTTTTTGTATCGTCAATTTATTTTCGTTTGTGCGGTTTTTGTTTAAAAAACATTCATTGAATTTGCCACAATAATCAGCAAATATTTATTTATCTCATGGTAATAATCGTTAATTATTATTATACTTAGCAAAATTGTCGGCACACAAATATTTGTATGCTTTCTTCTTTTCTGGGATCTTAAAGAAAATTTCAAATGTTTTTTTCATTTTATTAGCCATATTTGTTGTACTGACTGAGGCATTCAACAATTAAATGGCTTCGCGCATTCAAATTATTGATATTATTATTTTATTAATCAAATGGTTTCATTACTTGTTTTTTACATTTTATCAATGTAGCTGGGAAAATCTCTATCTCAAAATTTGTGCACTATTCCAAAATGACAATGAAGGAACTCGTTTCGTTTTAGCTGCCTTTTAAACACTTTAAATCAGTTTTCTGTTTATTACCATACCTTCACATCTTTAATATTAATTGTATGCCTTATGCAATCAACAATTGTTAAAGTCATTGAAAATCATGCAATCTTATTCGATTTTCTTTTAACTATTTACACTTATTGCAAATTGTGTTTTAAACAAATTTGTATTGGTTCATTTCACGATTTTGTTAATCACAAAATCTGAAATTTCAAATAACCCAAAACTGAGGAATATATATATTATATATCTAGATTTTTGTATAAATGTGAATTTTAACGTAGATTTTGCTCTGCGCCACTATTATTTAAATGCATCAAATGATTTCCAAACGAATGCTTCGCTTAACATTTAAAACCTTCAATATTTTCTCGACTTCTTGTGGTGGGCCGGCATTAATATTAAGAATCTGTGCATTGGGAATGTGGACAGTATCATTTTCATTATATTCTATATCTGACTGCGTACATTTGAGAGACCTTCCCTAAACTTACCATTTTGCTGTAACTGCTTCAGCTCTCAAACGTAAATGATTTTTCATTTTCAATCAATCGTATCAATAATATTTATCCCAATTTTCAATACTCAATTTCCGGCTTCTTGTGGAAATCATTTGCCATCTATGTTTGTAGTTAGCTGCCAATTAATCTAATCGGATTTTCGTTTCATTTTCACTTAGTTTAAATGTAATTGGTTTTCAATTCAGAGAAAAACCATTTAGGTATGTTTTGTGTCTTGTTTTATATTTTGCGCACAGCCTTATTTATCAAAAATATTTCGGTTCATTGGTTAATTGGTTAAATATGTAAACCGTTTTTCCTGATGACAACACCTGATCATTATTTGTACCAACTTTGCCTGTCTGCATATAACATATACATATAACTAGCTATATACATCGATTTGTATTTATCTGTGTTATGTATACATAAAACTCCATATGTCTCTTCTTTGCTATGCTTATTTTTGTTGTTGTTCTTGTTGTTGTTGTTGTTGTTTTACGACTTTGCACTTTTCATCATTTTAGAATATCATTTTCAACTTGTTCATCATTAAAACTCTGATAAGCTAGACCAAAATTAAAAAAGCCAAAAAAAAGAGCAACAAATACCGATAATTAGGCGCGCCTTGCGGCTTTTTAGTTTTTAGTATTTTGTGTTTTGTTTTCAACTTCCACGCTTTGCCACACGATCCCCGGGGCAGCTAAAACTTTAGAAAAATAACAACCAACTTAACAACCGGTAGCCTTGCTGCTGCCACATTTGTGGTTGTTGTCGTTGTTGTTGATGTTTTTTTTTTTTGTTTTTTTTTTCTGTTTTTTATTTTTTGTTTTGTTGTTTGCCAGCAGAAACATTTTGTTTAGTTTATTTCTCATTTTAGTGTTTAATATTTCGCTTGCAGTTTTTCGATTCATTACCAACTTTAAAAATTCTGTTTGTTTTTTGTTTTAGTTTTTTTTGTTTTACATTTACATGACTTGGCTTTCCATATTTGTATTATAGAATATATATTTTATAAATTGTATTCTTATTTTCTTGTATATAACAATTATACATTTATAATTTATAAACGTTGGTTTTAGTAAAAATTAAAAAAAAAAGACCAAAAAAAACATGCGCATAAAAACAGTTTATTTTTCAAGTTTAAACTTTATAAATAACGCGATTTTGTGTTGTTGTTTTTTTTTTGTTTTTGTTTCATTTTATTATTATTTGTTGTGTTTTTCATATTCATCAACTCGTTTTGACTTGGCTTACTAGTTAAATACAAACATGTACATAAGGTTGTTTTCTTTCATATAAGTATGTATACATTATATATAAATATATTTTATATATTCTTTTTCTTTTATTTTAGTTGGTTGTGTGTGAATAACTTTCATTTTCTTTTTACGTTTCTTTGTGGAAACATTTCTCTTGTTTTTCACGCTTTAGACTTACAAAATTAACTAGAAATTATATTTGTATTATTTTATATTTATATTATATTCTTTATATATGTATATGTGTGGGTGTACGTGTATGTGTGTGTGAGTGTGTGTGTATTCGACAACCGAAAGTAGGAAAAAGAGCTTTGATTTCTAGACCGATGACGACTACGGCTCCTCGCTGGTTGAATCCATGGCGCTGACGAGAACCAGCTCAACCACTGAAACCGCCTCGGCTGTGGTTGTTGTCGAAGTGGATGAGCTGGTGGTGCTCGCTGGCGACATGTTGTCCGCATTGCAGGACAGACCCAGACCCATGCCCATGCTAATGCCGATGGGTGGCGGCGACGAGCTGATTGCCGCCGCTGCTGCTGCTGCTGCTGTTGTTGTTGTTGCTGTTGTTGGCGTTATGGATTCGGGACTTTGACTGGGCGGCAGCACAAAACTCTTCCCCACACACTGATCTCATTTGAGACCTGTGTCCGACGATGGCGTCCAGCGATCAAACTCAATGCCCGAATCCGGTGAGACGCCCGTTGCCTTCGCCAGATGAGCGGCTATAAATCCGCCCGTCTGCATGCACTTGCAGTCGGCGGCAATGCAATTGCATGAGAATTTGGAGCCGCGACCGCAACGTGCCACAAGGTTGGGGTTCGCAATCAGTGCCGTGGCCGGCGAGCAGCCAGCGTTTGTTGGTCCAATTATGTTGACACTGCCACCAATGCCGCCACCGCCGCCGCCGCCGGTGACACCGACGCCGACGCCACCGCCGCCCTCATCCATGGCCTGACCGTCGCAGGGACTGAGACGGAGTTGGCTCTCGAAGGACTGCAGCTGCTGCATGAAATGGAAATTTGGCGAGACATCCGGTTTGCGATCGCGCACCAGCATGAAGGCATCGTTCAGACTGAGCGCCCGAGTCTGCATCAGATAGGCGAGCGTCACCGTTACGGAGCGTGAAACGCCCGCCAGGCAGTGGACCAGCACCGCCGAGTTAGCTGAGCGCGCTTCTTCTGCAAAGCAAACCAAACCAAATAAACCAGTTGAGAATATACACACTTCATCTATGTGGGCTATACGCACCTATAAAATGTATGGCAGCTGGAAAATGCATGGCCAGATCCTGGGAAAGGTGATCGGTGATGGGTATTTGCAGATACTTGATAATGCCCGACTTCTCAAACTCATTGGGCAAATCGGGTGTCACATTCAACACATACTAAAAACCAAAAACAGAAAAAAAAATGAGAAGCTTCAGTTAGTTAATTATACTTGATAAATACATATATATACATATGTATATAGATATATTCAGCGGACATACCTTAATGTTGTACTTTTGCAGGGCATTCGAATCGCAGCTGTGCGATGCGTTGCCCAGAAATAGGCCGGGTATTATCTCAACGGGCGCCTCATTGAAATTATGATGACGATGATGGTGATAATGATGATGATGTGTGGTGCTCTCACAGTCCGATGATTCACCGGAACTGCTGCACGCCGAATCGGAATGTGGCGTGGAAATGCGTAGCGATCTGCAAATGAATTTCAAATATCTTAGAAATTAACAAACACTTAACTTTATTGTTTTTCCAATAATACTCAGATCCGATTTATTTATGGCTTCAATCGACTGACCTAATTATTGATTTAATTGCACAAAAATCTTGTTTACCAATCGCTTTACTTAATTTGTACTTTCTCAATGATTGCTACTAATTCATTAATTGTTTTCTATAATGATTTATTTCTGACTTGGATTTGAACGAATTTCAATCGTTTGTTTCTTGATTGATCTGATTGTTTAGTTAATTTTTCATTAATCTTGTTTACTTAATCTTTTCATTTCAATTTCTAAATTATTCAGTTAACAATATTAATAACTGATTTATTTCTGATGCTGATACTATGATTGTTGTTTATTTAATTTCACATGGATCTTACTTAATTTCTTCATTCAATCCATATACAAATCAGCTTATATCATACTCCAATTCGAAGACTTACCTAAGACCCATCAGCTGATCGGCCTGTGCATTGCGACTAGATTCCATTTCTTTGTTGTGCGCCTGGTTATCATCCTCACACCACTCCGGAAATGCATGACGAAAACTGGAGAAACCATCTGCAACCAAAAATGTGGGGGAGAAAGGGGAAATATGAATATGAGATACAGATACAGATACAGATACAGATACAGATACAGAAACTAAAGTATGCTTTTGAAGTAAGCGAAACATTTTTTTCTTCTTCTTTTTTTTGTGTGTCGTGTTTCGTTTAGCTTTTGTATACGCTTGAAAAATATTTCGTTATGCTTAGCCAAGTGTGTCCTTCTGGGTCTCTGGGTAAGACAACACCTTTTTTGTTGCCCCAAACTCCACCGCATCCCCCCATCCACCCTTTGAAGTGGCCTATAGCCCAACATAGACAGCAGACAACAGACAGCAGACGGAGGCGGTGAAGCATGCGTGAAATTCTTTCTTGCAGTTTGCGTTTGGCTCATTCATAAAATACGACTTGTGTCGAGTGTCCGTCGTTTTTCTCCAATTAGAAACGGAAGTGGCCGCCATACGAGACCCAAACAGAGGGAAGACCAAAGAGAGGAGAGCAGTGGAGAGGAGAGGCAAAGAAAACGGAAATGCTCTTCCTACATACACATGCTATTGCTATTGCTATTGCTATGTTTGTGCACGAGTTTTATAAGCCGGCAAACGAACGATCCGAGCTGAGCTGAGCTGCGCTGCGCTGAGCTGTGCACAACATGATGAACATGATGATGACTGCGAATTGTCATAACACAAAACGGAAGCTTACAATTTCCTACTTGGCGCATAATAAATGCGATTCCGCATTTGAAATTGAGCAGCACGCTGATAAACAGCAACAACACACACTAATAATAATAATAATAATAATAATCATGCTGCTTGCTGCTTGCACAGTCAATGGGCCAACGGTTCGTATACGCATTCAAGAAGACGACGAGCGCAAGAAGAAGTCTTGGTAAACGGAAGAGAAACAATTTAAAGGCAGCAGCAGCTGACTCGCCCCCACTCTAAAAGCAAAAACTGCAAATACTGCATTTGATAGCAATTTCCGTTGCAAGCATAAGCCAAGATAGCACCAAGGTAGTCACCCCTCATCCAAAACCTTTACTGCTGTTTGCAGTTAAGCAATTGATTGCTTGACCATCGAGAGCCGATTGCGCAGAATTGTATTTGAACACTGATTAAGAATGCTCTGCTGCCACGTAATTCTGCATAATCTTAAGAGCCCCCCTTGAGCGCCTTTGTTCTGGTTTATAATGGAATCAGTTTGTTTTCTTCATTTTTTTTCATTTCAAAAAACACAAACAAATTCCACAAATTTTCTGAATTCTACTGGAATCTTTTGGTTAAGAATTTCATGCCAGACAAGAAATCGTCAGATTCATTCATGTCTCTACCATGTCTGAGCAACTTAGTGAAAGAAAATAAAAACACTATCTAGTCATGTATCAGTTTATAGCTCGTCTAGTTTTTTTTTTGCGCAGAATCTATCAATTGTTGTTTGTTGTTTTTTGTTTTTTTTTTTATTTGCTATTATTGTTGTCTGTCGCAGTTTTGCGCGTGTTGCGCTTCCTGTTTTTGCCACATGAGAGCCGAAACGGACGTACGTGTCCGGTGGCACGGTTCAACGGATTTCACGTTCCACTAAAGGGCCGACTTTAAGTGCAGTGCGTCATCGCAGCTGTATGGGCAAAAAAAATCTAACCGCAGGCCAATTGCGAGCCAAATTAATTAGCCAAGCGCCCAAATAGCAAAGTTATAATGGTGTGCGTGTGTGTATGTGTGTGTGTGTACATCGAATGAGGGTAGTCCAAAAGCTGACCGCTTGTCTAACTGTTTACGCGACAAAAGTTCGCCTACGTCATTTCCGTTGGGACGCATGTTTGCTCCAACGTTTCTATGTAAATGGATAGAAACTTATATGTGGATGGCGGCATTGGGGGAGTAAAAACTGGGTAAATATGAATGGAAAGCTTTTGTGTAGATGTGTGCTGGCATTTCTATACCTAAGAGTTGCTCAACTCACGTTTTTATATACCCTGTAAATGCTCCACATAGAAATTATAGCAAAGAACAGCAACTATGCCCAATAAAAACACAGACAACATTTTTAAGTAGCTATTTTAAATAGAAATTGCCAATATTTTTTTTTTTTTTGTTGGGTATTTTAGCGAATTTGTTTACGACAAACTGATTTAAAAGTAATTCTTATTTTTGATGCTCAAATATATTTAAGATTTATTAACAATATATTATTGGGGTTTATATTTGATGCATCTTTGCAAATTATTCATTTCAAAAAAACTGTTTGCAGGGCATTGCAGAGTTTAGTTGATATTGCTGTAAATTTGCTATATATTTATTTGCTTAACTCACGATCACGATCACAGTGAAACAATAAACAAAACACACACGCGATAGATAAGCAGCAGCAGCAGAAGCAGCAATAAAAATTTTAAACAAACAAACAAACAGATGACAAAAGCAATCGAAGCTGGCGAAAACAATGAATGGAAAATGTCCCAACAAAGGCAAAGCAAAACAAGATAAAAAAAAAAAGACGAGTAATTAAAAATATTTTTTGGCGAGTTCATGACTCGAAGATACCGTATACCCATTAGCAAGAAAGATGGGCATGCCGAAGATAACATTCACTCAGACAGATCAGTGTCTTTAATTCATTATAAGCTCAAAAATAACCAATCTAAATCTGTGATATAGTAGTCCGATGTTGATGATATTTGATTCAAGAGTTAGTCGTTTTTGTTCGATAACTTGTAACAAAAATAGAATAAATATTTAATAATATAATTTATAATATAACTATCTGACTCGATCAACTCCGATTTATGTTCTGCCTGTTGCAAGAAGACGTCTAGAAACCTAGATTTCATAAGTTAGCTTTACGACTGATTGAGTCATAGATATCCGATCTTGATCTGGATTATATATAATTTGATTTCATTGAATGCATTACAAACTAGTCAACAAAATTAGCAGGCCCTCGGCAAGGGTATAAAAACAAACGAATGAACCAACTGCGACGTCTATTTTTTTCTTCTTTTTTTTGCGCCAGTTGTAAAAACTTGCATGTATTATTTATAATGTTATTTCGTTTGTTGCTTTGTTGTTATTGCCTTAATAAATAAATAATCCAAATATTGCGCTTAGCATGACAAGCACATCCCGTGGGCGGTGGCTGCAAATATGCCAAAAAAAAAAAAAAAACAAAAAAAACTCGAAACTCACTCGCCATGGATGGGGGTTTGTGTGTGTGTGTGTGTGTAGAGGGAGTTGTAAGCATAGGCAAGTTAAGGGGAAGCAGGGCGAGTGCTGGGGGGAGGGGGGGACAGGTGGTATTAATTCAAATCCGGTTTTAAAGCCCACAAATAGGCATGACAATAATAAATAGGCAATATGTATGTTGTACATATGTATTTGAAGTAGTTTGCGCTTCTCGCTCGCTCGCAGCTCACAAATTGTTAGTGTATTTATTTATTTTTTATTTCGTTATTTGTCGCCGTTTCTATTTTTTTTTATTTTTTTTTTTTTTAATTTTTCACGTTTTGAAGGTCGTTTGCACTGTGCACGTTGTTATTGTTGTTGTTGTGTGAACTCATCAATGAAACAATACAATGGAGAGAACAACAGCCGACAAGCGAACTGCTTTTGGACAGAGATACTACAGAGGCACACACACACACACACAGACACAGAAACAGACACACACATAGTTGAGAATTAGACTTAGAAGCAGAACGAGTACGAGTATTTGATGTATATGCGGACAAGCAAATGCATATATACAAATGGGCAGGTGTGGCACATTTGATAACCATAGATAAAAATACATACAGACAATGACAATAACAATGAATGTGAACCAAGACGAATTATATGAATGGTTTGCTAGACAGAGGGACAGAAACAGAGATACAGAGAGAGAGAGCAAGAGAAAAAGAGAACATTTGCGAACTTTAAGTTTAAATTTTATGGCTGGGTACAGTGACCGATAGACAACAATTACTGCGGCAATATTTCAATTGCTTTAATCAAAACTTTGACTTTAAGGCTTCTTTTGCACACTTTTCAATAATAAAAGGCTGCAACGTTTGTGTTGAGTGTGTGACATTTAAGTTTAAGGACTAGCAGCTGAATGGAGGTGATGCCCAGCAAGTGCAGAGTGGCAGCTGAGCATCGAGTAGGGTGAGCGAAGGCGGGGGCTCAATCAATCATGTTGTAATCAATCAAGTTGCCGTTGCTTACAAGACACTATTTAAAATGTCAACCAACTTTTGCGTGTGGGCGAAAAATGCTTTCTGGGCTTCTTTGCCTAATGACATTAATTTTACATGCTGCCCACAAACAGCAAAGAAATCGAAAAGAAAACCTCTCAAAAAGAACTATATAAAACACCCACATAAAAAAAAAAAACGAAAAAAAAAGGCAAAACTCATCCAATAACTTTGAGTTGTGCAATGCATTATAAGAAATTCTCATCAAAGGCGGAAGTGGCAGTCATTAATATTTTTGCCTTTTAGCTGGCACTCTTTTTTCCAGTTAGCCCCACGCCAACCCCCCTTTTTCGGCTTGCACTTTGTTTACGCGGGCAGCTACAAAAAATGTGCTGCTCCGAAAATACACGAAGGCAACACTGGAAAATTTGGGGCGTCTTGTGGAAATGTAAACAAAATGGGGCCATGTCGGTTGGGATGGTTTTTTTTTTATATTTTAGCTGCTTTTTTTTCTTCTCTTCTCTTTTTTTTTGTTCACATTTCTGCTTTCGTAATGCGAACACAGAGCTACAAATACTACAAATACTCCGATTATCTGTTTGGGTTTGTCTTATATATTTTGCTATATATGTGCATGTGTGTATATATGTTTATATATATGAATGTATTAATGTATTTGTATTTGTATTTGTATTTGTATTTTCTGTCCGACTCTGACTCATTGACAAATAGCATTGAACTGCAGGCGGTGTTCGTAGTCGTCATTGTATTTTGCCTGTCTGTCTTTTCATTCATGGAGCATGGAGAACAGAATGGACGTGCCATATACTCACTTATATACC